CAAGGCTCTGCCAAATTAATATTATTAAAATAAACCTTATATTTTGCGAAGAAGAAACATTTCACACTTTGTTATTTTGGGAATTTAAAATATTTTTTTTTGAACATTGACTTGTTCATTATGATAAGTTTGCAGGGCTGTAACAGGGTTCAATTTAGATTCAAATATTTGATTAGCAATATGTTACACCAAATTTCAATTTCTTTACAATTCGGTTGCATTTCTAGCAAATGATGTCTTGAATAATAATATTATTACAATGTAGAATAAGATACATTGAATTGTTTTTTAAATTGATCATGTTTTCAGGAACAAGGGCAATAACTCATACTCAATATTATTCAGTATCGCCCTTAAGAGTTCAAAAGAAGTGTATGACTGAAGGTTGAATACTTTATTCTGGTGATTATTACTGTACTACTAAATATTTTTATTCAAAATCAAAGCTGCCAGTGGGCGTATATTACCTTTCCTGGCAAGCTATCTTATAGACTAGTTCTTCACGTTTTATAGACACATCTGAGTGTTGCCTAATCTTACTAAATTTGGCATAAAATCTCTCAATAGCACACAGGGCCTATGTTTATTGTCCCATCCGAACGACTAGACTCTTTTTCCATGGGAGGTAAGAAATCAATATTACATACAATAAGATATATGAGTATAGTATATTTTATTCAATAGAGGGAAAAGATTTGTATATTTTTCTCTGAAAGCACTGACTAGATAATAACATGTAAAACACTATATACAATCTTATATAACAAATATTACAATTCACAGTACTGGTAAAACCAAGTCTATAGCTAATAGCCAATGCTATTATCATCAGGTCTTTTTAAGTTTACACTTATAAAAAGCCTCGTACTTTCTTCCTGAAGAAAATTGGATAAAACCCTATCTGTCATAAAAGATTCTGTATCTGTGTTTTTTGTGTTAATTTTCAACAAATGTTTAATAAAAGTTCTAAGTTTAACTTTGAAAAAAGCTTGATTGGATCACAATTTGGAAATAAATTTGAAAAAATTGTTTAAGATTCTGGAGTTGTTAGTGATTTTATCAAATTTCGTCTGGTTTTTACCAAACATTTACAGCCATTGAGATAAATAACCAAAAAAATCAAGATTTTAAAAAAGTAAGAAATTTCAGCCCTGTGTTATCAACTCCTGAGTACCCTAGCCAAAACAACCAATCACAGACACTTTTATAAGTGAGAGCACCAATCAGAGGCACAGAAACAATATTATAAAATATAGGTATAACAAATAACAACTTTATTACAATCAGATAAAATTACTCAATAAAATCATGGTATTTAAAGACATTCACTTTATAGTTACACTAAAATATCCCTTTAATCTATTAAAGGTAACACCCAGTCTATTTGTATAGTAACAGTAGGACAACCTTACTAGCTAATTTTACAAATTTTTAGTTAGTGAACAATCTACCTCAAACATTGGAACATATAAATAGGGTGGTGCTCGATTTCAGTTCCTGAACAGGTTCCAGTTCTGCCCCGAATAGAGCAGAAAGTGGATATGTCACATTCAAATTTTTCCTATCTATTTCCTTCTCCACCATTTTGGATTCTGTCTGCACCAACTATTTTTTCAGCACACACTGAACGCGTTCTGAACTCTGTTCCAACTTGTATTTTGAACAGTTTGTTGGATCCATGAATCCTGAATGAGCAGAACTCACCAATCAAGCGAACCCTACAAATTTATTCTGTTTATTTTTTGTATCATTTATAAATGGCCACAAAATTTCTGTACCAGTATTTTTTGAAATCTGAAAACAAAACTTACAGATACAAAATAATTGGGTGTTACTTATAATTTCTGTTCATAGGGGTAATTTATCACAAATATGAAATATAACTACTCAATCAAGATTATTTACAATTAAAACCATAAGAAAATATATAAAATAAATTTCCATCCCTCAATAAATTTGTGTAAATAAGAGCACATTGGATGTTATATTTACAATAAATATGAAATTAGTACAAAATATGAATGTGTTTGAATAAATACATGTAAAAAATAGTTTATCCCTCAAAAAAAAAAAAATACCATCATCAATTTATTATGCATTGCACAATGTGGCCTTCAAAATGAATCCTGCTAAAAACCATCACATAATTTTATCACACATGCACACCAAGTCAATCAGGTAAAAAATGAGTGACTCATTGGACTCTATAGTTGACAATGAGTAACATCAACTTAAAATGACCAGCACACAAAGCCTCAAATAGTCAAAATGAACACTGAGTCAACAAAAATTTGTTACTCTTCAGTCAAAAACATGACTTAAAATTTCATCTGTGAACACAATTAGTAGAAAAATAATCAATATGAAAATATGTAGAAATATGAAAAAATATATAAAAACTTGAGACAGGAAAATATCATCACAAAACATACAACCATTATATTATACAGGGAACACAATTGTTTCTCCTTAAAGAATACTACCTTGTAGAATAGACATAAAATGTAAAGTCTCAATAAGAGTAAATATTCATCAGTTGGACTTACCAGGTGTCCTGACTTAAGAATAGAATCTCTATATAAGACAATATATCCATTATTGAAACATCCTTCTAAGCAGGTTTCAAAATTTCTTAGTTTAATGAATTATTACTTAGTTTTATGGATTTATTAGATTATAGAGAGATTCTGTGGTATAGTTGTGACACCAGTTAAGTCCACTGATCAACAAAGACTCATTTTGGCCAACTAATTTTTGATCATCCTAAGAAGTAATATACCTTTAAACATAATCTACTTTAAGAACATATTATGACAGTAAATTTAAATTCACTGGAAGTGAAATATCAGCAGTGGACAATTGAGACAGTATATTATCAAGTTTGGTACTTAAAGATTCATTTTGGCCAGGTGGCTATTTTTTGACTTTTTGTGGACAATTTGCAATGTGTCTTCTCTTCTAGCCCTTAGTATGTTTCTTCTGTCAGAAAGTAAAATGAAAAAATGTATGCTCATAAAATATGTGAAGTTTATTTCTTAAACAATGCTTTTAAAGACTTAAACAATCATTTGCATATTAATTTTATGTTTGTACATGTATCTTGCTGTAGGTAGAATACATATTATGCATAAAACTTACATAGATTAATTAAAAATGCGCATACATTTGATCATAAATAGAAATAAAATTATCGAAAAATGAAGAAATCAATCGGGATGAGAGAAGAAGCACAAAAATTAAAAACCCCAATGGTGATGGACATGCAAGATAGACAATCAATTCTTGAACGGTGCCTACTGTAAGAGGATAAAGTGGCACCATCAGCCTGAAAGCATGCTCTGAGTCTGTTTTTGAACTACTCCTCCATCCTCAAGGACTTCTTCAATATATATGAAATTCTTAAAATGTTCAATTTTTTAACCATTTGGCTATGAAAAATATATTGAAATACTAACAACTGAATAATATGACAAGTCTCAGGAAAACAGAGACAATTCTGTCACTTCCAAATGGTTAAAAATGAATGAAAGATAAAGGTTTATTATGCTTATTATTTTCATTTCAGGTTATTCTTGAATAATGTCATGTCAATTATACAAAAATTTAATTAAGATAATCTTTCAGTAATCCATAATAAAATAGCTAAAATAATAAAAAAAAATACTCTAATATTTTCAAAATTGAGAATGCTTCTACTAATGTTTCTTGATGCAGTAACACATTACTGTATGTGTATCATTTATAAAATAGAGTTAAATAAAGTAAAGATACTATCATTGTCAAACTAGAAATGTGGCTGGAGCAAATCTTTACCTCAGTATATGAAAGACAATCTTTACCTCGGTATATGAAAGACAATCTTTACCTCAGTATATGGAAGACAATCTTCATCTCAGTATATCTAAGACAATCTTCATCTCAGTATATCTAAGACAATCTTCACCTCAGTATATGGAAGACAATCAGAAAATCTTCACCTCAGTATATGAAAGACAATCTTCACCTCAGTATATGGATGACAATCTTTACCTCAGTATATCTTAGACAATCTTCACCTCAGTATATCTTAGACAATCTTCACCTCAGACAATGTTTGACCATTTACTGACTAACGTTCATTCTTTTAAAGTTAGCTAGAG